GGCCCTGCTGCCACAAGTGAAATGTGTCTGCCAGTGCCATGCAGCCAGAGGGGAGAACGAATAGGGAAGACAGCCTCAGAGTGCCTTGCCATGGGCAATCACTTAACATCACAGTTGGAGATCACACACGTTCAAAGTTGTGAAACACAAATGACTCTATTTCAATCAAATACACGTGGTCACCATGAGTGACATGTGAATAAAATAGCAGGTATCCTCAGCTGTGTGAGATATTCTAACATAATGCACACACAGCACCGAAAAGACAGATCAGTTAACTTCAAATTATCCTGCAAATCAATAAATGGTATGTCAGGTTCTTCTGCTAGATTACTGATAATTACATCAGAATAAGAAGGAAGATGAGGTAGAAATGGAAGTGTTTAAAAATGGAAATGGTCATGTAAATGAAATTCTGAAGGGAATAATTTACCTCATCTTGTAGTGATTCTTCAACCTGTTCATCATAGTCTTCGTCTTGCCTTTTAACTAAAACACACCCAAATAAATGTTTTTAAATGGTCACCAAAAAGGTCAAAGATTTCACTAAGAAATAAAAGCATGGAAAGCATACCTTGCCGCAATTCTTGATTTTTAAAATGTTCTTCAAGTTTGGCTTTCAGTATACCTCCCAGTTCTTCAAAGTGTTCATTATTAAGGCATCCATCACCCATTACTTCAATGCACTAATGAAGATGAAGAAGAAATTTAATGGTGATCATACTCAAAAATTAAATTCCACTACAAATCATAGAGGCCTGAGGAAAATGAAGGCTATCAAATATCTAGGAAGAGAAATGTAATAGCTATATATTTAGTTTAGATTTGTTAGATTTCTTCACACATGTGCTGGCTATTATGTGACAGGCATTTCACTAGGTTCTGAGGATTCAAAGATGGAACAGACATAAAGCAGCTCCTAGGGAGAAAAAAATCTCTGTGTACACAGCATACAAAGATATCACAGCTGGAGGGAAAGGCACAGAAACGTGCATTCTTTGGAAATAGAAGAGGTTCAGAATTGCAGGAGTGGAAATGAGGACTGACCTTTACATTGAGACTGGCACAGGATAGGGAGCTGTGTACAGTGGGGCGACAATGAGCATGGCAAAGGAAGGGGTCTATAACCAGTAAGTTCAAGGGCAAAGGAGAAAAGAAAGGAGAGGCTCTCAGATTAGACTGAGTGAGGCTATTTCCCGTAGCACAAATAAGAAAGTTGGCAATGGAGAAAAAACAGACGAATTCAGGAGAGCACATTAGGATAGAGCTACAGGTGAACTGAAGATGGCACCTAAGTTTCTGTGGTTAGATTATTAGGTATATAATGGTAGAAACTTGCAGGATTATTCAGAATTTCTGTGTTTCCAAAGAATACATGCTTTTTTGCCTCTGCCTATACCATTCGATCCACTTATCATACCCTTCCAGGGCACATTCACCTTTCTCCGATGCCTACTTCTAAACAAACAAAAATAATGACAACACCAAAGTATGAAAGTAAAAAACTAGCCGGGCGTGGTGGCACACACCTGTAATCCCAGCACTCAGGAGAGGCTGAGGCAGGACTGACAAGAGTTTGAGGCCAGCCTGAACTATACAGCAAGACCTTGTCTTTAAAAAAAAAAAAAAAAAAAAAAGGTAAAACTTTATGTTCTAGCATCTTTAAAAGCCCCTAACTTTGGGCTGGGGATTTATTTTTTACATGAAAAATATGGACTGCTTCACAAATCTGCACGTCATCCTTGCGCAGGGGCCATGCTAATTTCTGTATCGTTCCAATTCTAGTATATGTGCTGCCAAAGCGAGAACTGGGCTGGGAATTTAGCTCAGTAGTGCCATCGCCTGACTTGCAAGCACAAGGTCCTGAGTTTGAATCTTGGTTCAAAAAAAAAAAAGCCCCTGACTTTTCTACTACTTTAGTGAGACTAGTAAGTTGAAGGTAAAAGACTTATACGATCTGCAGAGAAACCAGAGATGTGAACACAGCTTTATAAATACTTAAGATAGTTAACTTTCTCCATCCCCGGTGCCAAAACAAACAAACAAACAAAAAAGATAGTTACCTTTGCAAACGAATGCATTATTTCTGAGAGGACATCTGAATCTGGTTCTGTGCCAATAGCCTTGATTAGTGCATCACACATGAAATGCCACATCTGTGTGAGGTACTCGGGACCCCGCACTCTCGCACACTCGAGGAGAAGAGGCATGGACTCCGCTGCTGCCACTCGGACACGTGGTGGTGTTAAGGAAATACGACTACTAAGGGACCTCATCAGATCATTCTATGCTTTCTGAACATTAAATAACAGGGCAGTAGGGCTGGTAACTTCTGTTATCTAAGACAAGAGCTTGTATTAAAATAGGGCATGTATGAAAATAGAAGCCTCCACATATGCGACACACCCATCTTTCCTGTCACCCACAAAACAACAGCATGGGCCCTGTAAGAGTAAAGGGCCTCCTGCTGCCCACTGTAACCTACAGACAATAAAGGATGTGAAAGGACCTGTGACTGCAGGAGCACTTCCCAAGATGCACCCTAACCAGAAACAAGGTAATACATGTTTCTCCATGACATTCCTGGGAAAACTACTAATGACCTCTTCTATGCAATGCAAGCTTTATAGTTCTCAATAAAAATCAATTACCTCTCCTTATCTAATACCTTTTATAAAACAAGGTCTTGATAACTTCTTAAAAGCAATTATGCTTTGTTCTCGGGGACTACAGGAAGTGCAATGGGCAAAGCCATCTTCTGATGATACAATGCGATATAACAGAGACTTTTTAGACTTTGATCTGGGTTTGGGTCTGAGCTCCACCCGATTCTATCCATCTATGAAACTGTGTGTATACAGGCATAAAAATGCAGCTATATGTAATTATGACTATTGAGGATAAAAACAATAACATGCGGGTTTTACTGAGATGTTTCTCCCAGAGGCACTATCCACACTAGCAATGTAGGATTCTCTGTTATAGAAAGTTAACTAACTATCAGTGTGTCTTGAATCCAGCCAGAAAGGTCTTCTTTTCCTAACACTATCAAAAGATACTTGGGAAAAGCAGCAACTATACACACCTGAAAACATCTGTTAATACTTCTTAAAGTCTCTTAAGTGGCCAAAGACATTCACAACTAGACAGCTCACATTTTCTTTTTTATGTTTCTGGCACAGCCATTTATAATCTGTAGCTACAGTTATTGAAAACCAAGTAACAGTACTGAATACTTCAGTTATCACAAAATCTGGTAACTGAGAAGCCAGTTTTACTAATCCAGAAATGTTTTGTGCTCTACTGCTGCAGGATATCATCATGGAAGTAAAATTTCAGTAAAGGGACCATCAATTTGACAACCTGTTCGGTGTATTCCACAAAACCTTCCTTTAATTCCTTAGCATAGCAAACCTGAAATAAATATTAGAAAAGAGATCAAGATCCATGTTACAACTTTTCTTTTTCAAGTGCTGGGGATCAAACCTGGGGATGTGTACATGCTAGGCAAGTGCAACAGCACTGAGCTACAACTCTGGTTAGTTTTCAGCTATTACTATTTAGTAGCAAATAGCAAAATCTTAAATATCCACAAAATCTTGCATCTAAACCAGCCCTACATTTAAAGTCACATGCAGAACCTGGAACTAATCTTAAAGTAACAAGAATTTAAAAATGAGAAGGGCCACAAGATGATTGTAGTATGTATTATCATTCAAGGGCTGGAATAATTCATGTTTTTATTTATTGTATGTGGGAGAATTTAGAAAAGTTATGTACTCTGAAGATTCTTCTGAGAAAATGCATTACTTAAATGAAGAAAAGATTTTTTGAAAGACATTAAAAAACTGAAAACTCGAGTTAACCACAGCCTACCTCACAATGGAAATTTGCAACACACAGGATGGACTCAGGTAGCCTTTTAGACTCAGCCTGTGCAGCAGCTAGGACACAAGATGTGGACCAGGGGGCCTGGCTTATTTTGAATTCTTAAGGAAAAAAAAAAAACCTTCAAATCTCTTCCACTACACATCAACAGACTGTATAATTTTTGAAGATTTTACATTTATATTTCTTTTGTAGAGAAAAAAATTAACACAAAAATCCAAAATGTTTATAAATCACAAGTGTTAAGTATTGAAGATCAGTTAAAGAAATACACATTTAGGGCTGGGGATTTAGCTCAGTGGCACCATGCCTGCCTTTTAAGCACAAGGGTCTTCCACTACACATCAACAGACTGTATAATTTTTGAAGATTTTACATTTATATTTCTTTTGTAGAGAAAAAAATTAACACAAAAATCCAAAATGTTTATAAATCACAAGTGTTAAGTATTGAAGATCAGTTAAAGAAATACACATTTAGGGCTGGGGATTTAGCTCAGTGGCACCATGCCTGCCTTTTAAGCACAAGGGCCCGAGTTTGATCCCCGGTACCAGCGAAAAAAAAAAAAAAAAAAAAAAACAACAACAAAAAAACACAAATTTAAATGAATTAAAGAGAATAGAGTAACACAATAATGTAATAGAATTTAAGCCACTTTTATCAAGACTTACTTAACTGCTAAATATGTAATACACTATAATTTCTTAATTGTAATTGTTAAAAATATATCATCTTTCACCTTATCACATGCTCAATAAAAAACCCCAAAACTCAAAAGAACTTAAAAACACCCCCAATAATACTATTAAGACTAACGTTTTGATTTCCCTACCATACATACCCATGGCTCTTACACAACTGAAATCATACTAGTTTAGCTTTGCTTATATACAAACACATTTTTTTTCATTTATTCAAAAGATATCCTGAGTAGTCTACTATAGACACAGAAGACAATTTTTTCCTCACAAGAGCTCATTCTAATTCCTCTGTAACAACTGGGTAATACTCCAGGACAGAGTAATTTATCTATTACCTCCATTCAACTTATTTTGTTTTGCTATTAAAAACATCAGGAAGCAGAGCGAGGTGGCTCACACCTGTAATCCCAGCACTTGGGAGGCTGAGGCAGGAGGATTGCTGTGAGTTTGAGACCAGCCTGGGCTACACAGTGAGTTCCAGGCCAGTCTCAACTCCACAGTGAGATCCTGTCTCAAAAAACAAAATAAAACAAAAACAACATCAGGGAAGCCAGGTATGGTGGCATAGGCCTGTAATCCCAGCACTCGGGATGAGGGCAGGAAGATCACCAAGAGTTCGAGGTAGGGCTCCCGACCCAGCAGCCATCGCTCAAGCGCCGGGAGGTAGGCCGGCCCCGATCCACCGCGGGAAGGAGAACCATGCCTGTTCCCGATCCAGCAGCCATCGCTCAAGCGCCGGGAGGTAGGCCGGCCTGATTCACCGCGGGAAGGAGAACCACGCCTGCTCCCGACCCAGCAGCCATCGCTCAAGCACCGGGAAGGTAGCTGCGCAGGCACCCCTGAACCCCCATAAGTCCCCCCTCCCGCACTCTCAGACCTCCTGACTGTGGAAGTCTTTGGACCCACTCTGCCAAGACAGAGGTGGTCATCAAGGGTATTTTTCTGAGTTCCCAACTTTGAACATCTTTAAAGAAAGGGCGTAGGAAACCTGTAACAGAACGTTGGGGAGTTCAACCATTCAGATGGATGGGGAACTCAATCTGGGCCTTGCAGCCCGAGGTCAGTCAGCGTCAGGGGGTTCAGCAATCAGCTAACTGAGATCAGGGGTCTTGCATTCTCGCTCTGTCTGAGCCATTAAATGGTAAATATACTATATTGAAAAGTTTGTTCACTGCAGACATGTTCTGGACAGCTTCTTGATTTCAATTTAATTCAAATGATTTAAGGGTGATAGACTAGTGACTACCACAGGTGGTCAGTGTCCAAGTTGTGCTTGATCTTAATGTGTTGCTGATTGTATCAGTTGGGGTAAAGCATTGCCGTTGATTTGATGAGCTGTTTTCTCTGATGTTATGAAGATGAGAATGTCTGTGGGTCATTAGAGACACAGAAGCTAGGGTGCAACTATATCAGGAAGATTTGGGTGATAATCCAGAGATTAAACCAAGGACAGTCCGACAACAAAAATTAAAATGAGGAAACACTTAAGCAAGGCACAAGGACAGACTTCCAGTTCACCAATGGCAAACAGTAGGTCAAATGAGGATGTAAAGGCCGATATTGAACCACCAGGACACCCTGAACTCAAAGCACAGGAAGTAACAACACAGATCAATCAGGTTCCGGAAAAATTCAAAACAAATAATTTCCCAGATAAATATAGAGATAGTGAGCAAAATAGAAGTCGTGATTCGAGATTCTAGAGCAGAAACTGACAAAAAAATAGATGAGCTCAGGACCATGATAGAAGCCATGAAGGCCCAGCATAAGAAAGAAATGGAAAAAATAAACGCTCAACATAGGAAAGAAATGGAATCCATAAAACAGATTCAAACAGATATCCAGGAGATTAAACACTCTACTGAAAGTGTATGCAACAGAATAAAAGAATGTGAAGATAGGCTCTCAGATATAGAAGTAAGATTGCAGTCAGTGACCATGAAAAGAAAGGTCTCTTAAAAACAGTAAGAGATCATGAGAAATCAATCCAACAACTCCTAGATGATGCAAAGAAGAATAACATAAGACTGATAGGAATACATGAAGTAGCAGGAGAAAAAACAAATTACTTTAAAAAGCTGTTTGCAGAATTAATGACAGAAAACTTCCCAAACAGAGAGGAAGAGTTTGACATTCAGATAACTGAGGCATATAGGACCCCAACTAGCTACAATCAAAACAAATCTACACCTAGACATATAATAATCAAGATCCCAGAAACCCAACAGAAGAACAAAATACTACAAGCAGTAAGAGAAAAGAAACAAATCACATACAAAGGAAAGCCCATCAGAATCACAGCAGACTTTTCAACACAAACCCTTGGGGCAAGGAGAGCCTGGAATGAGATATTTCAAGTACTAAAAGAGAACAACCTCCAACCTAGACTGATGTATCCAGCAAAACTCTCTTTCAAAATGGATGGGGAAATAAGACACTTCCACGACAAAGAACACCTGAGAAACTACATGAATACCAAACCAGCACTACAAGCAATTCTAAACAAGATCCTAGAAAAAGACAATGAAGGCAACAACACCATGAGGCCCAACAGAGCAAATCAAATAGGCAAGGCAAGAAATTAAAAGGAGAAGGTGAAAAAGTAAAAAGAGTCAACAAAAGGCCAATAACATGTCAATAATAAGTCAGTACATATCAGTTATAACCATCAATGTCAATGGCCTCAACTCACCAATCAAGAGAAAAAGACTGGCAAAATGGAATAAGGAGCAAAATCCAGTAACATGTTGTATACAAAAAAACACACCTAGTGCAAAAAGAAGCCC